AAAAAACCTTGAAGGATGGAGTTGCGAACTGTGTTGGTCAATCCTATAAAGTACTAACCCCCCTCTTCTTTCTAAGTCTCTTCCTCCTTGGGGGCTTCACACAGGTCAGGAGTCCCTCTCTTCTCTCCTTTGTAAGCCTGATGGTGTACCTGCTTTGACTGACTGCGGCTCTAATTGAGAGGTGGGATGAACGTCGTCCCCTAATGAGTGGCCATTTCTCTTTCCCCTTCTCGTTAATTTCCTTCGCCATATTTGTTGATACTCTCGCAATTTGTGCGACCGGTCAGTCTGACACGCCTGCGTTTGCAGGCTTCTGACACGAACGAGGAGACGAAGCGCTTGACAACGCTGACGGTGTACATTGCATACAGGCACTTCCCTGTGCTGCCGTGGGGGCGAGATGGCTGAGATTGTGAGCACGCCACCGTCAGCAGCAGAAAACGGGCCGCCATTCTGCGAACAGTCCGGCGGCATTGTCAGAGAAGCAGAGGTGTTTGTTCGGAGCGCAATGACCGTTGATTCACATGATGGATCTCACGACTGGTGGCATGCTGAGCGCGTGCGCCGGCTAGCTCTTTCACTTGCCGAGGAGGAAGGGTTGCCACAAGGCAAGAGGGAGATTGTGGAGCTCGCGGCTTTGCTTCACGACATTGGAGACTACAAGTACAGTGGAAGTGAGACGCTGGGTCCAGCTACGGTGGAAAGCTTCCTGAGGACGCGGAGCTATGGTGAAGAAGGGATTGCACAGATCATTGACATCATCCGACGGATGGGGTTCAAGGAGGAACTCGTACAAGCTGCCCATGGAACCCCATCCGTGGGAGTCACGGCTCAGGGAAGAAGAGGAGGGGATGAAGGAATGTGTGAAGGAGGAAGAGGCAGTGAAGGAGAAAGAGGCGGTGAAGGAGGAAGAGGCGGTGAAGGGGAAAGAGGCGGTGGAGGAGGAAGAGGCGGTGAAGGAGGTGGAGGGAGAGGACTGGACAAGCTTTCCGGAGGAGAAGTGCAAAGAGGCGAAGCAGTAGAAAAAAGGGATGGAGGAGGAGGAGGAGGAGGAGGAGGAGGAGGAGGAGGAGGAGAGGAGGGAGTAGGAGGACGAGAACCTGAGGCAAATGGAAGCGGTGGAAGACTGGGAGGAAGCGGTCGAGGATGTGAGCGAGAAGTGGAAACGGGAGGAGGAGGAGGAGAAGAAGAAGGCAAGGGGGGGGAAAGAAGAGCTAGAGCAAGCGGTGAACAAGGAGATACAGACATAGGTGCTGATGGCGGCGGAGGAGGAGGAGTGGGGTTGAGCGGCAATAGCGATGGATTTCTTGAGTTAGCAATTGTGCAAGATGCTGATCGGCTTGATGCCATCGGTGCGATCGGAATTGCGAGATGTTTCACGTTCGGGGGGCGGAATGGGGCACTGATGTTCGATCCGAGCATACGGCCGAGGGAGCGGATGACAAAAGAGGAGTACAAGAGAAAAGGAGGGTCAACTAGCATTAATCATTTTTATGAGAAGCTGCTGAAATTGAAAGGCCTAATGAAGACGGCTGCAGGGAGGCGTCGAGCAGAAACCCGTCATCGCTGCATGGAACTGTTCCTGGAGCAATTTCACTCAGAGTGGGAGGGAAGGGCCTAGGACAAACTGCCAACTCTGCGAGCACCAGAGCTTTCAGGGAGGGGTTGGGGGCTCTGTGCCGTGGGGCAATTTCACTCAGAGTGGGAGGGAAGGGCCTACCGTCTTCACCCGAATAGAATGCCTGATCATTATAGCTGTATTTGGGGCTGCTTTCAGTCTAGATGCAGCTATAATTACTGGGCGTTTTATTCGGGTGAGACGGTTGGACGAACTGCCAACTCTGCGAGCACTAGATCTTTCGGGGAGGCGTTAGGGGATCCGTGCCGCGGAGCAATTTCACTCAGAGTGGGAGGGAGGGAAGGGTCGAGGACGAACTGCCAACCCTGCGAGCACCCAATCTTTCAGGAAGGGGTTGGGGCCCTCCGTGCCACACCGTACAGTGTACGGGGGTTGTTATTGTTAGTACGCGCATGCAACCCTTCACTGACGGCCACGCTTACTCCATGCACGCGGGGTTACAGTGCATCGCTTGCCAAATGCCATTCGAAGGCGATAGCACCAGAACAAGAATGAAAGAATGAAAAATTCTAAAACTTATGATAGCAATATATATTTGTCACCCATAACTATCATCTAAAAGAGCTTTGTGCGCAACAAAAAAATGATAAAAATACAGAAGAAGACGACAAACATGAAGAGCACACTGAAACCATTCTAGAGCTCACTCAAGCCATCCTTTTTATCATTTCTTCTTGAAGCCCCCCCCCCCCCCATTCTGAAGTGGGTGGGCTATGGGGTCTGCCATGCGGGTGGCTGGGTATGGCATACGAGAGGGACGGATGGCCTGCGGGCATGAGTGCTATAGACAGGTAAAAACAGGAGGTGCGGCAGGAAACGTATGGAGCGTAGCGAGAGATGAGGGGCCTCGGTAGGGCAGGACAAAGGAAAAGGGGGGGGGGGGGGGGGGAAGAAAAAAGGAAAAAGGGAAAAAAAAAAGTCATTCTGAGCAACTCTTTTCCTGGGGCATGTTCTAGAAATCTTATCAGATTGTCTATTTAATAACAGGAAAAAAAAAAAAGAAACAAACAAATGGAAAAAATCATGTACAAAGGGCAACATAGGTTGGGGGCAGGGGTTGGAGGAGTGATCAAGCCCCTCGCATGCGAGTTGCTGTCTTGTTTTTCCATTTGGACCCGAAATAGGTTCAGGCACTGCCCCCCCTACCCCAGGCCCCATAACCAAACATGCAGGGTTGAGAAGAGAGGCTCAGAGACTGTAGGGGGGTCGGAGTTGCGCGAGTGGTAGCTTACGAGGAAAAGACATCGGCGAGTGGAGGGTGAGGGAAGTGCAAGAAGTAGGGGGGTAAAAGTCATGGGCAAGATGAGGGTGGAGTTGAGCGAGGAGTAGGGGGGGGGRGGGGGGGTCAGTGACTGCTGTTTGGGATGTGGACTGGGGTTAATAAAAGCTATTGTCTGCGAATATTCCAGGTTTTAGGGCTCAGGGTCCAGGATTCAAAACTTCAGACTTTCTGTATAGGGTTAAGAATTTTGGGTTAAGGCAGGGTTTAGGTGGGGGGAGGGAGGGGGGGCGGGCAGGCTTAGGGTTTAGAGAGCACTTTTGGTCAGTGCGAACGATTAGTTGCTTCCCAATTTTATTTTACCTTTTTGTAGTTTGTTGATTTAGAGGTGGTGCGGTGGCCCGCTTCTACGAGGGGTTTGACTTCACACAGCTCGTTGCATCAAGTATCGAGTGCGGATGGTTCAAACTTCGAGCTCTCGGAAAAGGGACAGGAGCAGACCTGATGGTCCATTGCTGAATGATCATCGAAATTGCACACCACTTACAGCCACCAGCCAGTAGTTGTTAAGAGATGTCATGTTTATGGTTTGATTACATTGGGTACTAATCAACCAATGAAAAGCCAGAGTTTCACTCTTGGCAGTCGGGAGCCCCAGCTGCTGACCAGCCCGTCACTGCCCACTGCTCGGCCACCTCTCCGTCTCCACGAGGCAAGGAAGTTTCACAAGCACGCGCATTTTTTTTTTTTTTTTTTTTTTTTTTTTTTTGTGTGTGTGTGTGTGTGTGTGTGTGGGAGAGAGAGAGAGAGAGAGAGAGAGAGAGAGAGAGAGAGAGAGAGAGAGAGAGAGAGAGAGAGAGATGTGCATTGACTATGCGGTCATGAACCGACTGCTCAACTTGTCACTGAACTTGAGAGGAACTGTGAAGATGAGTTTTTCGTTTATAACTTCATAAAGGTTGTTCAACTGTGTTCATTTATGTTGCATTTGCTGAAATTCCAATTCCATAGAGAATTTATCTACCAACCACTCCCATAATTATCTACCAACTTCATAGGTCTGATCTAGGTGGTAGTTACCTAAGTTGCTGTATACATAAAACTTCAACTCTTTTTTCCCCATGTCACCCTCCAATTCTCACGAGTTATGGTTCTCAACGGTGAACAACTTACACTCATATGGAACTTTTTTTTTGTCCATTGGACCAGGACGGTGAATTGGGATTGTTTGCAGTGAGATTGATGGGATTTTTAAAATATTTTTTACCTTTTTATCCTTTTTACCTTGTGTTGCAGCGAGATTGATGCGATTTTTTATCTTTTTACTTTTTTATCCTGCCCCTTTTTATCCTTTTTACCTTGTTTGCAGCGAGATTGATGGGATTTTTTAATCTTTTTCACCTTTTTATCCTGCCCCTTTTTATCCTTTTTACCTTGTTTGCAGCGAGATTGATGGGGGATATCACTTGTCTGAAGGTAGGTAGTATGCTTGAGCCACCGCTGCCCCCACCTCATTTTCAATGCACATTCAGACGCGTGCAGCTGGCCATGGGGTGGATGAGGATACCGGCCACAGGTGGCTGGCACTTTTCCAAAAAGAAATTTAGTGCGATGAGGTAGGCAAGCTTTTGTGGTCAGATTTTTTGAAGAAATGATCTCGAAATGATCTCGATCTCGAAATGATCTCGAAAGGATCATGGGCATAGATTGACTGCTGATTGTATATACTGCCTCCTGATGAGTTAGGGAACTCGGACGGAACAGTCTGTCACAGCCACTCATTTGTTGTCCTCTTCTCTCCATCTGCCACGTCTTCGGGACAATACGCACAGAATTGTCCTCCCTTCCTATCCGTAGGCCACCCTCTCATCCTCTTGCCTGGTCTTCCCCTCCTCCCGCACCTGCCTATTGATCCCCCTCTTCCCCCTCTCCCCTTTCGGGGGACTCCGCCCTCACCGCCTCCTTCCCCCTCGTCCGTCCCCTCCCCCTATCCTTGCCCACTCTCACCCCGTCTTTCTCCGGCTTCGCTGCTGGTGACTCCTCCCCTGACCCCCCCCCCCCCCCCCCCTTTTCTCCCTACACCCACGTTCTTCCTCACCATCCCCTTCACCCCTCCAACTCTGCTGGCTGGACAGAACTCAGAAGAATGACAGGAAAGAAAGCAGATGCTACCAACTGATCGAAAGACCAAAAACAGCAGGAATGTGGAGTCTTCAGGCGGCCCGAAGTCCCCCAAACTAGGGCGTAGACTCCGTAGAGGATGGTAGGGAATTGAAGGGCAGTGAAGGGCAGTGAAGGGCAGTGAAGGAGGTAGTAAAACTATAGCAGGAGACCGTAAATGCAGCATCCTCCAGTTTGCTATAGGTTTGGTCCTCTACTGTGTTGTTCCGTGAATGGGACACCGGGCCCGGTTCCCAACATGGGACACTACCCATGAATAAGATTTTGGAGCCATCACCCAGGTGAGGCCTTTATCAGACCTGGGCTCTTACCCCTGCGTCGATGGAGGGGTTTCCCCTCTGATGCTCAGAAAAAGAAAAGGGGTTGGAATAAAAAAAAGGAAATAGAATATAGGAAAATGGAATAAAAATAATATGTAATAGGATATACAATAGAATTATATTATAGTATATTCATAGTGTTCTATCTCATATATTGTATTATTAGATTACTAATTAGCAGATTATATATAGAGAATATAGAGAATCTCCATAAATTGCCACCCCTTTTTTACCCTATTTCTTCCCAAGAAATCTTCTTGGTTGGTAGACTACTTTTGAAGTTGATAAAATCATCCCTTCAACAATGACACACCCACTGTGAAGGCTCAGTTGTATCGGTGAGGAGCTGGAATTGCCGGAAATCTGGTCTGGTGTTCCACTTTACAGAGTAGCCATCCGTTTATAGCACCAAGCTGTCTTGGTTAGCATTGATGAGCCGAGAGCGGGGATCGACTGACCCTCCCCCTCGTAGGACGCAAACCACCTCCTTCGAAAATTCTCCCTGGCATACCCCCACTTCTTCAGTCCTACCTTAGTTCTACCACTCAGGACAAGCGCGCCTTACTGTTACATCTTCGATGCACACGGGTCCTACCGGACCCGACTTAGGGGCGGAGGGACACATCAGGGCCTAAAGGCCCGACCTTGGGGTAGTACAGGCCCTCAGGGCCTGATCTTGGACCAGTACCTGACGGGCAGGCCCAAATGGCATTATCGTTTGGGCCTGGCGGCGCTCTTGAGGCTGCCGCCCGCCCTGGGGCTGAACCGTCCATCTGGATGGTTCAGGGCATGGCCAGGCCTCGCAGCATTGAGGCCGGCCTCTGCCCCACCGGTATAAAGTACCGGTACAGCCTCACTTGGAGGCATCGAACCACCGGCACTCTACCGGTGCGTTATGGTCAGCGCCAGAGCGCTGTTTTGATGCGCTAAGTTTAGCGCAGGAGCGAGCAAGGAGCAGCAGCAGCAGCGCAGCAGCAAGCGGAGCAGCAGCAGGGCGACTGAGCCAGCACGGCGGCCATTGCCGCCTGAGGTACCTGGG